TGGGCAATCCTACTTCCGTAGTGATACTGCCTCGGAAACCCAAGGAGGGGTCGCTATGAGTCGGGGCCGACTCGACGGCACATAACAACAACATAACATGGTACAACAAGGAGCTCTGGTGGTGCAGTGGGTAATATATTTATTTGGCTGTTAACCAGAAGGTCAGTGGTTCAAACCCACCAGCTGCTCCAAGAGAGGAAGATGAGGCAGTCTACTTCCATGAAGATTTACAGCCTTAGAAACCCTATGGGGATTGCTGTGAGTGAGAATTGACTCAGTGGCGGTGGGTTTGGTTTTGGGTATAGTAGAACAGTGTTACAGAATTTTATCCTTCTGATGTAGCTTTCCAAGTTATAGTGTGTATACCACCTGATGCTCTGGCCTGAATTTAGATGATGAGAGGTTGTGTTTTTCAATAATTTAGCTGAAGCATTAATTATAAGCAGAGTTCCTGTCTTCATTGGTGTTGCTTGACCTATGAGATAGATTAGTTGCTGTTTTATCTAATTTGTGCGGACTATATAATTCCTTTTGGGAATCTATACCTCTATGCACCTCCTTCCACACTGATTAGCTTTCTCCATGGATTCCATGAAGAAATCTGGATGTAGTGTTTATAAGGTGGGGCCATTTCAAGTCGGAGACCTCATCTGCGTTTGAATTATTGAAGACTTTTAAGGATGTCTTTAAAATAAATTTTTGTTTTTAGCATTTTAAAATTGTCTGGTGCTTTGCATCTATAAAAAGAACTGAGAAGAGGTAAAAGATTCATAGGAAAATGTAGGCGTCCTTGTGCTTAAAGTGAAAAGTGAGCTATAAATTTTGATTGCATTACTCATGGAGTGTATGAACGTGCAAGTGTATGCATAGACATACATTAGTTCTTTCTGTGTTCCAAGTAATGCTTAATACTGAAAACAGATAAACCAATTAATAAATTATCTCAACTAATAGTGTATGATTTATGTTAATATTATAGGTTCCTGGCAAAGGAAAACTGTTCATAGTTTAACTAGTAAGCCACTCTTACTTATTCAGATGAGGAAACACCTGCAGTCAGAGGAACAGATTTTAATTAAATATGCAGACTAGAATTATACATACTTAATGGTAGAATTTACTATTAGACTGGTTGCTATGTTTCTTTTCTTTTTTTTCTTTATTAAATTTGGATAATGACACAAAATGTCCAGAAAGAATTTGAGTTCTGCCCAAAAGGATGTTTTCTCTGGGCATTGCAACTCTGCTTGCAGTGGGTTTGTGATGGGTGACTGCTTTTCTGGGAGGACCACCATGTCTGGTTGAGCAGGTTGTGCACTGTAATTGGACACTGGGCACAGAGGTAGGTGGGGGGCTGAAATCCAGCTTGTGTTCACAAAGCCATGGCCTATGGAGTGGGGCAAAATAGGCCTAGAGCAAGGTGCAGCATTTTCTGATTCTTGTAAAGTGCCTTCCTGGCAACGGCTCTGAGGATGCATTTTAATAGTTTCATTTGAAAACCAATTGTTTTTCCCTTTTCTTTTTAATTGTAGATGATTTCTGTAGTATGCACATGTCCACATATATGTGTGTCTATATGCAAACACGTATATGCCATTTATGTGCCATATATGGAGCTCTGGTAGCATAGTGGCTAAAGCACTTGACTGCTAACCAGAAGGCTGGCGGTTCAAACCCACCAGCCACTCCTCAGAAGGAAGGTTGGGCAATCCTACTTCTGTAGTGATACTGCCTCGGAAACCCAAGGAGGGGTCGCTATGAGTCGGGGCCGACTCGACGGCACACAACAACAACAACAACATGCTCACTCATGTATACTGCATATATGCTTGAATATAAGGTCAAATGTTCCTTGAAAGAAGTCCCTCAGAAGGTGAAAGTCACCTACTGTGTGTTTGAATTTTATTAAAATACTTAAAAGTATATAGTCCTCCTCATTTACTTTGAACATCACAGAACTATTTGGGGAAGACAGAGAAGCCCCAGGTGGCCTCTGACAGTTCTAGCTGTGGATGCTTGCAATGGTTTCTTGATAGAATTGGGAAAGAAAAGAAGCAAAGATGTTTAACAGATTTAATAATTAACCTAGAGATCAAAGATTGCTTTAAAAAAGCAATACTGTAGTGAATATGATCTCAAATGAATGTTTACAGGATGAATAAAAATTCCAAATATCCTGATGTTATACAAATAGATACATGTGGCTTTGGTTGATATTTCCAGTGGTAGTATCATAAAAGGATTCAAAAGCCAGTGTCTCACACTGCTTATGCATTCAGAAAGATTTGCTCTGGAAAAGTGTATTGGATCACTTACAAGATGACACTGTTGTTGTTTAGGGCCGTTGAGTTGGTTCCGACCCTCTGTACAATGAGATGAAGCACTGCCTGGTCCTGCACCAGCCCCACGATGTGCGCTGTGCTTAAACCCCTCATCACAGCATCGGTGCCAGTCCATCTCATTCAGGAGCTTCCCTTTGTCCCCTGACCTTCTACTTTACTGATCATTATATCCTTCTTCAGGGACCAGTCCCTCTGACAGCATGACCAAAGTCTGGCCATTCTTACTTCTAAGGAGCATTCCGGCTGTACTTCTTGCAAGACAGATTTGTTTGTTCTTCTAGCAGTCCATTGTATTTTCATTATTTCAAATGCATATGAGGCTATTGAAAATACCATGGCTTGGGTCAGACACACCTTAGTCTTCAAAGTGACATCTTTGCTCTTTAACACTTTAAGGGGGTCTTTTGTAGCATATTTGCCCAGTTCAGTACGTTATCTGATTTCTTAACTGCTGCTTCCATGGGCATTGATTGTGGATCCAAGTAAAATGAAGTAAAAATGACACTAATGGCTTAAAAGGTGACACTAGCTGCATATGCATGTGACACTGGACAATGAATAAGGAAGGCTGAAGAAGAATTGATGCCTCTAAAGTGTAATGTTGGCAAAGAATACTGAAAATACCATGGACTTCCAGAAGAATGAACACACCTGTCTTGGAGGAAGTACAGCTGGAATGCTCCTTAGAAGCGAGAATGGCCAGACGTCATTTCACGGTACTTTGGTCGTGTTGTCAAAAGGGATCAGTCCCTGGAGAAGGACATCATGCTTGGTAAAGTAGAGGGTCAGTGAAAAGGGGGACAACCCTCAATGAGATGGATTGACACAGTGGCTGTGATGATGGGCTCAAGCACAGCAGATATTGTGAGGATGGTGTAGGACCAGGCAGTGTTCTGTCGCACGTACGGTTGCTATGAGTTGAAGCTGACTCGATGGCATCTAGCAACAACAGTGATGAAAAAGACCATGATGTCAAAGCTACGCATGAAGTGTTTGAATCACATTGTCTCATGAAATGTGAGAGTGAATAAAATAATTATTTCTAAATGTTTCATATGGTATGTAATTTCAAGTATGTAGTTGGAACCCACTTGGTGGCAGTGAGTTTGGTTGAGTTTGGATGATTAAGTTAATTTATATTATAATTGGCTTTTGACTAATTGTATCTGTAAAAGTATGTATTCAAGTTGGCTAAATTATTTTAGTATTTTCTCCTTTGGAAAAATAAGGGGTTGACTTAAATTTTAGGTTATTTTATATTTATTTGAAGTAAATGTCATTCTTTTCAAATAGAAACTGAGGCTACTTGAAGAACTTGAAGACACGTGGCTTCCTTATTTGACCCCCAGAGATGATGAATTCTATCAGCAGGTAAGTTATTTTTTTATCAATTTGTAATGATGTGCTTAGCAGAGAAACTGACATACAGACCCTCCAAGGTAGTCTAGTCTGTTCTATATTATTTTACCTATGAGGAAACCATGATTGAGAGAGGTTAAATGAGAGATGAGTGACCTGATTTGATTATCCATGGAATCCTCATTGCCTGCAAAGCTTATAAATCCACAGCTCTCTGTTATGAGCTTGGTGCTTGAGCATAGTGGGCTATCTTTAGTTCCTCAAGTATTCCATGCTGTTTCCCATTTCCTTGTTTTTGATCATGCTATTTGTTTTGCCTGGAATATCCTTTTGCCCCTTATCCTGCTTCCAGAATGGCTAATTCTGTAAGACTTCAGCTATGGCACCTCCTTTGTGAATATTTCCATGACTCATCTAACCTGCAAGTAGGGGTGACCACACTCTCCTCTGTGCCACTTGTGCCTTGTAAATACCTCATGGTACCATCTAGCACATTATATTGCAATGATAGAACTCTTTGTCTTCCGAAAGGAGCCCTGGTGGCACAGTGGTTAAGTGCTCAGCTGCTAACCAAAAGGTCATTGGTCAAATCACCAGCTGCTCCGTGGGAGAAAGATGTGTCAGTTTGCTTCTGTAAAGATTCCAAAAAAACCAAACTCACTGCTGTCAAGTAGGATACGACTCATAGAGACCCTTCCTTTGGTTTCTGAGGTGGTATTGCTACAGAAGTAGCTTCCCTATCTTCCTTCCAGAGAATAGCTGGTGGGTTTGAACTGCCAGCCTTCTGGTTAGCCATCAAATGCCTTAGGCACCATGCCACCAGCACTCCTTCCATAAAAATTTTAGCCTCGGAAACTTTATGGAGCAGTTTTGCTCTGTCTGGTAATAAATAGGGTGGCATAGTGCCTAAGACATTTGACTGCTAACCAGAATGCTGGTGGTTCACACCTACCAACCACTCCTTGGAAGGAAGACTGGACAATCTACTTCCATAGACATACTGCCTTGGAAACCCAAGGAGGGGTCGCTATGGTCAGAATCAATGGCAGTGAGTTTTTGGAAAGATTTACTGCTTTAGAAACCCAATTGGGACCCTTGTGAGTTAGAATCGACTGGATGGCAGTGTTTTTTTTTTTGTTGTTTTAATGAGTTGGAATTGACTCAACAACAGTGGGTTGGGTTTGGTATCTGTCTTCCTGAATTAGTTCTTGTTGTTGTTGTTATGTGCCATCGAGTCAGACCTGACTCATAGCGACCCCTCCTTGGGTTTCCAAGGCAGTATCACTACAGAAGTAGATTGCCTCATCTTCTGAATTAGTTCTTGGGCGGTGCAAATGGTTAAGTACTTGACTACTGGCCAAAAGGTTGGTGATGTGAACTCACCAAGAGACACCTTGGAAGACAGACCTGGTGATCAGCTTCTGAAAGGTTACAGCCTTGAAAACCCTGTGGAATTCTTCTGTTCTCCACACATGGGGTCACTGTGAGTCAGAATTGATTGGATGGCAACTCACAGCAGCTTTAAATGACAAGTGACGAAAATACAAATCAAACTCCTTGTGTCAGTAAAGGGAATTTGTTACTTAATCCAGATTATGGCATGGCTAACTCTAGCTTCTCCAAAGATGTTATTTGATCACTGTTTTTCTCTTTGTCTTGGTTTTCCTCTGTGTGACTTCATGCTGAATAGGCTCTCACTTGATAGCCTAAGAGGACTCTGACAGCCCCAGCCATATGTGGTCCTTTAGCACCTGGGATCTTAGAAGGTGGTGATTTCTTTTTCCATCATCCCGTTAAATTCCCCACACACCGGTATGTTAGGCTGGTTAGAGGCATGTGCCTTTCCCCTAACTGGTCATTGTATTCAGAGGGTTGTGATGCTGCTGTTTATTTGACTCAATTTACTTACCTGTTCTTAAAGTGGGCTTGGGGTAGGGAGCATCCCACCCAAACTACATGGACTGAAAGTCAGAGATGGATGGCTTTTCCAAAGGAAAATTAGAGTACTGTTACTGAAGAAGGAGAGGAATGTCTGTTGGATAAGCAAAACCAATGTTTTTATCTATTCTTTCCTATTAGAATGTAAGCTCTTGGGGTACAAGCATTGGGACATAGTATCTTTGTATCTCCAACACTTAGCATGTACTTGTACATTGCATACCCTCAGTTACCATGGAAAGAGAGAGGAAAGTTTATCCATTTAGAACCTAGGTCTCTTGGCTTCCAGTTTATTATAATTTCCAAGATACTATCTCTCATCTCTGTTCTCATGAAATCTTCAGTATCTTTCACCTGGTCAGCCCTCCTTAGTTCTCTTCTTTGCTTCTCTAATCCTTAAAGCTGCAGTATATTTTTAAACAAAACATCAGTCTGAGCATGTCTGCCTTCTGCTTCAAATCTCAGAATGGCTGTTCATTGCCTGGCTCCTGCTTTTCTAGCCTCATCTCCCTTACTTTTCCAGCATTTTATCTGCACTGGATTTTAGTATCTCAAATTAGCTGTACAGTTTCATATTTGAGAGACTTCTTGCTACACCCTCTGCTGACATGCCTCCTTCTCCTTAATCTGTCTCTTCTTTATCCTTGGTGAACATCGATGTTACCTGGTTGGAGCAGCTCAGTTGTCATCTCCGATATGAAGCTTCCTTACCACTTCTACAGCCCAGACAGTTGTCTCTATTCCCTCTTGTGTGGCCTTGTAGTATTTTATCTGTACTTGTATTAGCACTTATCTCACTTTATTGTAATGGTTTCTTTGTATGTTTGTGTTCTTCTCTATCTCATGTAATGCCTGGTACCTAGCAAATAATTAATTTGCTTGAATGAATGAATACCTATATGAATTAATTTAAAAAGCAAATTATATAATAAGTTTCGTTTTTCGTGAATTTGTGTTGATACATATTCATACTTCCCCAGGGAGGGAACATGCTGAAAGATTTCAAGGATATTTAAAGAAACATTATATCCCAGAGTGGGAGGGATATATTTCTCCTATGAGCTTTACTGGTTCTCAGATTGTCTGCAATGAACATGTATTCTTTTGCAATCAGGAAAAACAAAACAAAACAAAAAAATTAAAGTGCCCTTAAAATAGGTGAACCCACAAAATACAATCAAATCTTAGATTCTTAACTAATATTTTCATAGCTATAAGCCTCATGGTACATGATTACACGCATTGTTACAAAGTACCTACTGAGCCATTTCAGCTTTTGTATTATGAAAGTAATACATGAAGAATCAAATACAAAGGTTATCAGCCTACCTTGCTCTGACCAGCCCTACATTGAGGGATTAAAGGAAACCCAAATGCAAATAGAACAATTGTTAAGGTTTCTCTTTTATCGTTCCAAGACCCACAACAAACCCTGATACCAATATCTAATCATTTTAAGTGGGCCTTATAAGAAGGCTTAGTGCTTCAAGAAAACCTTAGTAGAAGTCAATCTGTTCTCTTAAAAGATGAAATGAAATACTTTTTAATGACATGAATAAATAGAAAGTTCAGACCTGACATTGAGTCCCTTTAGTAGTCCCTGGCTATAGGAATGCCAGTCCAGCTGCCAGTCATAAAAACACAAGACTTTATGTAGCTTCTGTATTGGGTCTGAAATCATCTGTTGTTTATTGACTCTCACCATGTAGCAGAAACTGTGCTAAATGTTTTATGAATGCCTCACAACAACTTCATTCATTTCCCATTTATATATTGCATACCTATTCTACTTCAGGCACTGGTGCTAGGAACTTGAGGTAGGGATTATCATTTCTGTTTTTGAAATTGGTGAGATTAAGTTAAGGTCCTTCGGTGTGCACATGATTTCTGCTTGACTGTTAACCTAAAGGATACCCAGTGGTATCCTGGAGGAAAAACAAACACAAAACCAAACTTCCAAGACTGTAACTGAATTGTTTTTCTTCCATGCAGTGGCTGGTGGGTTCCAATCACTGAACCTTTCAGTTAGCTGTCAAATGCTGTAACCCCAGCACCACCAGCTCCTGGAAGAAAGATGTTAGAAAATAAACTCTGGGTTCCAGATAAGTGAATACTGCCCCTTTTATCCAGAGAAAATGCCACTTTTCCCCTTGCCTTCATTTCATTTACTGTGTGCTTTCCACGTGCCAGGTTGTTCTGATATTGTTTCAACCACACTACGAGGCAGGTGCCATTAAAATCCCATTTTAGAAATTGAGGCAGAGAGAGCTTTAGAAATTTGCTCAAAATTTGCAAACAGGAAGTATCAGGGCCAGAATTTGAGCCCAGGTTGATGGGCTTCTGAGTCTCTGTCTTAAGCACTGTATGGCTTTCCTCTTCCTCTGTGTCTCTGGGTCCTTCTGGGATTGCCGTTGTGTTTGTACCAATGATCCCAAACCACTGTTTCAATTCCTGCTGTCCTGTGTGATTACCATTCCTCCAATTCCAATCATCTGCTGAGTCTCTGAAGGAGTCTTGGTGGAACAATAGTTAAGTTCTTGGCTGCTAACTGAAAGGTCAGTGTATTGAACTCACCAGACATACCAGCACCTCCACAGGAGGTAGACCAAGTGATCTGCTCACGTAAAGATTCCAAACCTCAAAACCTTTGCCATCAAATTGATTCTGGCTCATAGTGATCCTATGGGACAGTTCTCGTCTCCATATTAATTAATTTCTTAATTAAATAAATGTAGTTAGCCCCCACTTTGTGCCAGGCACTTTTGTAGACATTAGAGATGAAGTTGTGAAAACTGGCTTCATTTCTAGAAAGCAGGAAGGAAAATTCCTTCCTTCTTTAAGCTTATTTCCTCTATAGGTCAGGTGTGGTAGTGAGTAGAAATACACAGTGAAATAACGATAAAGTTAATGTGTCAGAGGGGAAACTGATGTGGAGGTAAGTAAAACAGGTAAAGGGTAGGGAATACAGACAGTACTTCTTGGTGGGGGATTGCCAGTTTAAGTAGGGTGGCTGTAGAAGGCCACTCGAGAAAGTGGCATTTGAGTAACGATCTGATGGAGGTGTAGGAGCAGGC